ATACTTAATCACCAAGTAGTTCCAAATTGAATACATCTGGAAACGGCTAAATATTATAGATCATTGCTCAGGAAGAGAAATAGTGGACGAGGAATGCAGTATAACTTATATTTTTACTCGCAGTGTCCCCTAACCAAAGGAAATCTGCCGCTGCCGTGATGGATGACAAAGAACCCACTCTGAACCTCCGTGCCTCACAATTATCAACAAATGGGCTGGAGCAGATTTTATGTAATGATTAAAGCTGCTGTTAATTTCACATGAGGGTAATGAGTGGGGAGATTGACGGCCACTGTCCGGCACTCCATCATCCCTTTATAGTTAGTTTAAACGTTTTCACGACTCTTTCCCTCCTTCATTTGCATTTTGCCTCATTAGATATAGCCATTTCTGAGGCTGCTCACGATATCCATTTCCTGGAGTTAATGCATTTTATTTGATCAGCCAAACCTTCCCAGTTAACTAGCTGACATTCGGCCGTTTCATATGACATCACTCCATTAGCAGCCGCCATGCCACCTCCACATCCACACCCGCTGCCACCACCATCCCTCCACTGCCTTGAGCAATTACAATGTGCGACTGTCTCCGGATGCAGCGTTATTGTTTTTCGCCGGGTGTTATCTGCCCCAGTTGTTCTATCCGTCTTTCGCTTCCCAATATTTTTCCCTTTTTGGGTTTTATTTTTCACAAGGGCTGGAGCAGAGGTCCACTGGTGAGCAATAACCGGGGCTCCGAGGACTCAGAGTGCACGGCCACAGTGCGAGGCCCCGCTAACCGAGGGACCAGAGGTGTTTTGGAAGGCCTAATGGCATTTTGATGTTCATAAGCACAGCGGATGTGAGGGAGGGGAGACAGGGAGGTGGGGGAGAGGCCGTTTTAGGGAATAGGAGGAGGTGGAGAGTCAGCAGAGGACTGTCAGCGGAAGACTAGCAGAGCCCTGACAGACAGAGAACGTGTTTTCTCATGTCACAGCTGATTACATTCACTCCGGAGTGGGAAAAGAGCAGGGAGGAGACAGAGTTGTGGGGCCGGGATGAACAAGGAAAACGTCCATGTTGTTCCGAAGATACAGGGCATCTGCTCAGAGACAATAGTACTGTTTGATTAATTTAATGAGCACTGTTTGGCCCACTTTTGGCTGCAAGAAAACATGAAGACTTTGATCCATCTTAAATGTTCCCAAACATACCTCAGAAGAGATGGTAATTAATTAAGTGAATTTGCTAAATAATTGCTGTGCCCTTCTAAGTTGTATCTAATGTTTTAGATAAAGGTTTGTTGTTGAATCATACATTAGAAGAGTATCACTCTCTAAACTCTGCTGAAGCCTTAGTGTAGACAAATCTGCCTTCCTGCTGGTGTCCGCACACCTTTGTCCATTTATCTTTGCCGTTCTTTGTCTTGGCCCAGACAAAAAAAGCAATTAAGTTTAAAAACGGCCACATGAAAAGAGCACAAGCAAGAATAAACTCCAGTTAGTTTGTGTCAGACAATTTTGGTTTCCAGGGGTCTCTCCACGGTTAGTGGGGACACTATTTTTCCTTCTATTCCTGAGATTACACGGGTTGCTGCACCAGGTGACCCTCATGGTCAAACAGGCGACGGAGAGCCCGGCAGAGTCTAGATTCTCTCCACTTCAAAACGCTTGGGGAGAAAAGATGCATTTTTAACAATTTGGGTTTCTTTCTGTCCTTTCAGAGACACTTGTTTTGTGTTTGCTGATCCCTGTGTAACCCTTTTCTATTTGGCTATATGAAACTGTGATGGTGCAGCAATTCCTGGCAGTTGTGGTGACTTAAAGGTGACGAGATGATGTCACATGATATAATGGAGGCTTGAGCAGAGCGCAGGTTATTATGTGGATAATATGAAACTGTAACATTGAGTTTTAACATTTCCTTAACAAATGCATGGCTTCAGTTTATTTTTGTTATCCCCACACTAACCCCAGTGGTCTAAGCTGCTGACGCTCCTATTCATGGGGAATGAAAAGAATGAGACACAATGGTTAACATGCAGGCTCTGCAAACTGGGAGATCACTGTTTATCTCCCCCAACACATGCAATCAGGACAAATGCTAGGCCAGGTCTGTCATTTTCTGCCTCCCGCCGAGGTGTTGAGAGGAGTCACCGTGGCGGAAAATCACCTGTTTAGGTGTTGAACACAGCCTCGCCTCTCCTTATTCCTGGCTCTCCTTTCAACTGCTATCCATATTACCCAGCGCCAGGAAGATGCAGCAATAAAACCTGCTCTCCTTTCACCTACGTTTACCAGAATAACATAGCACCTGAAAGGGCTATCATCGAATGAAAACACAATGATAATATTTCAAATGAATCTGAAAGCTTCTCCAACAACCTATCACTCACACAATGACACCAAGCACAGCAGCTTTTCAGGGAGACTCTGGGTGTGCTCGCCCGAGCAGATCGCATTATCTTTGTGTTGATCTGTGGCCTCTTTTTAACTCTGTCTAACCCGCCCTGTTGGCTTTTCTCTGTGCCACAAACCACTATCACAAACCCTCTTATGCTTTGTTTTAACCATCATGCTTTAAAGACCCCTTCTATCAACACTTCAGAAAATATTTTAAACTCACAAAACTCCGAGAGTAGCTGGTCTGGGATTGATTTTTTCTTCAACTTCTACTACTCCTAGTTGAGTAAAGAGGAAATTGTTTGCTAAGTGTCAGTTTAGCTAAACTCCTCCATCCTTCACTTTTTGTTGAAGATCGTGATTTGTACTTGCCTAGTCACATGCTGGCCACATCCATCCTTGTATCGACTTGTAAAACTATTTAGGTAAGGCAAAACTTTTCTCATTCAAACCATATTTTAACATCTAATAAAATACCTCTTTGCACTATTAACATGTAGATGGTTCAGCTTCATTGTGTTGGCTGCAGCTCTTTTACTGACTCTAAAAAACAGTATCAAATTAAATGTGTTGTGTTCAAAAAATCTTAGAGAGGATTGTTTATTTTCTGTCTCTGGTAACACTTTATATTAAGGTTCACAAATTAACCATCAACTAGTTGTTAATTAACATGCATATTAGCTGTATATTGGCTCTTTATTAGTCATTATAAAACACTTATTAATGCCTTATTCTACATGACCATATTCTACAAGTAATAAGCCATTAGTTGAGAGTTTTTCCTCAATAACCCTCTAATTAGTGCTTATTTATTGCAAGTAAGGAAGTTGTTGTACATGAGTTTTGGTCTTAATATGCTCTGCTCAATATGGGCCTAATAAGGTAATACCACAAGAATAGTAATTCTCCCATAATAACAGTTAACAAATATGATCTATTCGTATGTAACAAGACATGAAAGTATAAATGTTAATTGTGTCTAAATAACTTAAAATTAGGTATTTCTATCTAAGAACATGTTCCCTATTTTAAAGCGAAGTCTTGTTCATAACCAATAAGCTAGTAGTTTTTAAGTTAGCAGTTAAGGCTAGGGGACACTGAAGATGTCAAAAAGGAATCTTTCAAGCACAAAACATATATAATATAATTTCTTTAGTTTGGGCACCAACATTAGCTTATATATTATCCCATAGGTACAGTATATGTTTGAGAGCATACGATTAAAGGTTACAGCTTGCTCTGTGATCCTGTTACTCCTGCATGTAGAGTCAGAATCAGTTTTGTGCTTCTCTAACATTTGAGGTTTTCGAAGGACATCCGCTGGACACATAAAAGACAATCTTGCGATTATCGAGGAAAAACTGGATGACTTTCAGACGATGGGAGGCAATATCAATCACGGCCAATTTGAGGCCACCTACATGAAATATGATTTCATAAGACAAATGCAGTGTCATTCTTAATGTGCTTAACCTTTACTGTCAATGAAAAAGTATTGATCGCTCCGTGGCATTTTTTCATCATTTGATTTCAGAAAGTGTAATAATATATGGTGGTGGGGTAAGATAAAAGATGAATGGCAACTGAATGATTTCAGACGAACAAAGCTGAATTCCCTGCAGAGTACAGACAGGGTGGAAACATTGATGCTTTCATCCAAACAATCCCTTTTTCTGAGAATTTTATGTAATGACAAATAAATCACATGCAATGTTATTTAAAAAAAAACCTTTACACAAGCTCTTCTTTTCATTTCAACCTTTTTGTTTGAATATGTTTCTAACTAGTATTAGCAGCAGGGAACAGACAGCCTGCTTCCAAGCACTGTTTCTATTATTCCTCTATTCTGTTGAGTAATTGGGAGGTATCCTATCTCTTCTTGGTCTTTGATCTACTTACTCTACCTAATAAGACTTTGCTCTGCTGCACTACAACCAAATCAGCAGTGCATTTTCAGCCCCCTAATAAGTGGTTAGCTTGATTTATATGGGTAATCTCGCCGATGTGGCTTGGCTCTACAACCTGTCCCCAATGCAAGGAGCCTCCTTTCACAACCGCAGGCCAGACCAGATGAGTCCATTACATCTGGGGTAAAGACGGTCTCTCTAACCCTCCTCTCCTTCAGAAGGAACAGTGTGCCATCGCATTATGAAGCACGAGGAATTAGTCGAAGCGTATTGAAGGGGTTGGCGATACAGTGATGCATGGCCACACTGCCTGGCTCTATTGTGAAAGCGGGGAGCAGTTGGGCCGATGCTGCGGGTGGAGAGGCTCGGCTCGGCCCGTGGGAGCCCCGGGGGCCAGAGGAAGCACTTAGAGTGGTAAAATGGCCACTTATTCACAACCACCCTCCCGTTCTCACTGCTCCTCCCTACCCTCAAGCCTCCCACTGGGTTCAGGAGCACAGCCCTCTGCAAACTGTATGATGGACTGCATAGCCCACTCTATTGGACTCTACAGGCCTCACTGCAGTTAGCCTATTCTGGCCATGGCAACAATAAAGACCCCCGACATCGAGCCCTCCTGAACCTTTTTTTCTTTTTAGGAATTTGCATTTAACATCTGGACAGTTGCATAAACAGGTGCAGTTCTGAAATATGGTTTCTCTGCCCTTTACCAGCTGAACCCATTGGCCAGCCAGGTGGCGGTAGCGGCGGCAGCAGCAGCCATGGGATCCATGGCCGGGTCTCAAGTGTTCGGCAACGCCCTGTCAAACCTGCAAGGAGCCACCGGACAGCTGGTCACCAACGCACAAGGACAGGTGAGTGCTAATTAATGGACACTAAAATGCAAAAAAAATTATCTTGTATACACACACCTTATTAAACACCAGGTTTTTGTGGTTTGCACTTGGTAACAGATCTGTAAGAGATATTACTGGACCATCTATCATGTACGAATGTGCAGCTCCAAATAAAACATTTGTATAGTATTTCTGATCTTTCCACATTGATCTCCAGTGTGTTGTCTTGAATCTTTTTGTCTACACTCTAGTAGCCAGCCCAACATATATTAAGCTTTTTGGGAATAAACAAAGCCCTTCTTTCTGTTATCCGCATGCGCCTGTCGCAGTAAAACGCTGACCTTGTCATATTTACAGGGTGGCTGCAGAATTGTTCCATCAGTAGCCAGAGGCTTGAACGATGATGCTTGTCATTGCGGGACCCTATCTAATGAATCATCTTATCACAGGTGCACACGGCACGTATTAAAGGAAAATTGTATGGACAATGTGCCCTTTCATGCCACTCTTGTGTTATGTACCTTAACCCCTGTTTCATGTTTTAACGCTTGCACTGTCCTTAATGTAAATGTAACACAAACGTGATTTCTGTACAAAAAAACGGTTCATTTTTAATGATTTAACTTAGCCTTCTTGTATTAGGTTTCAGTACCACCCGTGTTAAGTGCTCTCAGTGTGCGAGCGCTTGATGCTAAACGTCGCTAATGAGACAGTATGGACTTCCCTGGCTCACAAGGTGCCTGGAGCACTGGGGACAGATCACTGTGGATACGGACTTGATGGGATGCTCTGTGCTTTTGTAGTGTCTAGGCGGCTGACAGTCCCTGACATAATCAGGTCACAGAGACGGTCAAAGCCGTGGGCTACAGCCTTTGCTCCCCTCCTCATTATTCCACAGCATTATTCAGACGGAGGGCTCTGAAACATGCACTCCCATATCAGAAGGTCCACACACCCCACCCCCAAACACTGAGGAGATTATACAGGCTAATACGTACCTCAAACAGGCCAGGAGGTCCAGCAAACACACTCTGAGAACTTATGTCAGCAAAGAAAAAGCTACAAAACCGGAGGCAGTGGAGCAGCTTTTATTTCATTTGAGGTTTTTACTAACCAGAGAACTGCTTTTAGACATTATTCGCCATTCTTGAATTTATAACACGGTATACCATCTTTGACCTCCTAATTTCCTCTGCAATTCTGTCAAAGAAAAAACCTTTTCATAAGCGAGGGCTCAGGGACCTTGAAAAGTGCCGCGTTTGATAGACGTTTGGAGTTCAATATGTTTTTAAACCTTAATTATATTGGCCCGAGCCTCTTTATTCTCCGAGGAGAATCAATGAGGCTCTTTCATCCTCACCACCTCTGCAACTGTGATTAAGGCTGTGGATAAAAGCCACAATATTTTTAAGTCACTCATTTCTGAATTTGTTCCTCTCCTTTGTGATTCTGTGGCAGTTGTGTAGACATCTTTTATTCAGTGCAAATTCTCACTTTGCCTGCCGCCTTATAATGGCGGTAAAACTGTTGGGTAATGAGGACATTAAGGGCTGTTTTATTTAGCGGAGCATAAATCCAAAAAGGTGTAAAAACCACTGAAGAGGTTTTGTGTGTGTCTTATCCCAGTTTGCTAAACCCTGGCTCCGTAGCTCTGTGTACTGAAACCCTCTCCCTCCTGAATTTGGGCTATCCATCTCTTTAACTCCCAGCATCCCTAGCCTTTGGGGTCTTTGGCCCCTAATACTAAGAGAACATCAGGTAAGGAACAAATGCACAGTCAACCTGCCAAGCTAGCGTGCCCTTTGTATGGATGGAAGCCTCCCATCTTTAGGTCAAGTGAAACTGCTATTGTTAGGCTACAACTATTGATTATTACTAGGAACCATTGAGACCTCTAAAAGGTTCTAAAGTGCATATTTAGTTTGAACAAAACTCTGAAAAACAAATATATATTACATAAATATTAAATAGAACACAGAACAGCAGCAGATTCTTTTCTTTAAGCTGCTACAAGCTGTTAGACGTTGTTGTCAGATAAATAAACAACTCATCATTGCTGCAGTAATCTACTGAATCTGCATCTTGTCAGGTATTTGAGAAAATAAAATGCAGGCTTGTACACCCTTGAGAAAATACCCTTCCCAGGAAATGTCTTCTGTCTGGCGTACCATTATATATCTGCTTTTTAGCCTCTGATTTGTTCTGAATGTTGGTTTTCTGGACATGTGTGTTGACACAAGTCCAAACTTTCCAAACATTTTCTCTCTCGGGTCTCAATTCGCCGCTTGAACAGTGGAGGAGAGAAAATGGGCAGAGATATTGCCTGGCGACCATGGCTAAAGACACAGATTGCCCTGGCTGGAGAGATGAGATGACATTTCTGTGGAAACAAAGAGCAGCATAATCTTAATGAGTTCTGCTGGGTGGAGAGAGGCACAATACTCACAAGCCATACGAAGTGGAGCGGGGTAGCCAAATAAAGGAGAACAAACTGAAAGATAACTGAGGAGAGAGGCCTGGCAGGGACTGAGAGAAGGTCCTGAAAGCTGCTTATTTATGAAATAGTGGTGAAATGGAAATGATTGTATGGCTCCATCAAATATGGTCTTTTGAACAGAGAGTGAAGTACCTGCTGGTTGATTTGGAGTACTGTGCAACCTTCTTAAGAGGAGCAAAACATGAGGGAATTGATAGCCTCATATGTTCAATATTAAAATGAAGATTTAAACATAATAGGAGTGTAACATAAGGTTTCAAAACATAAGCATAGAGGCATACATTATCTTTACATGTATAGTGGTGAGGTGATGTTTTATATTTTTTGGCAATACTTATTTAGATACCTTAGTGCAGAATATGAACATGTTGCCAAACTGCCTTCTGCACCAGTGTTAAATTATGAACTTTGTCTAAAAATAAACTTAAGTAAAAACACATCTTTGACATTTCTGTTGAAGAATGAATAACCTGAGGATCTGACCAATCCATTTTACCAAGCATAGATGATCTTGTATTATACTTTTCTAAATGCTCTGTACACCTCAACATTGAATGTAATACTTACCATAAGAAAAGTAAAATAATAAAGTATTCTATATTGTATATAGTCTGTCTATAAATTAGCACTACTTCAAGAACTTGACTCTTCCAGCTTGAGCTATCTGTGAGGCACTGCCATGCAACATCTGCCTGAGATACTCAGATGGAGAAGCATTGCATGGTGGGACAGGGACGAGAGCTAAGCTGTCAGTTGCCTGCTCTTTTATTATGCTTATAGAACAACCACTTAGTCCAATGACGATGAATAATTGAGCGGAACAAGTTCCCTGCCACAGTGGCATGCAAAGCGGGATCAGCGGGACTCCGGAGACAAGAGCGTCAGGCAGGGCAATAAAATATGCTAAGTGATAGGAGAGCATTACATCGAATTTGTAAAGCCGGTGCGGAGAGAGAGATAAATTATCTCTCCCTTAATGCGAAGCAACGTAAGCAAATGAGCCGTGGCAAGGATGAATTACAGATTGTCGGCCCACCTTTCCCTCACTGATCCCTCCCTATTATGTCAAGGAGAGAGGGGGGGGGGAGGCAGAGGGGGACCAGGCGCTGAAACACATCAGTGACACTTGGGAGCCACACTAGGCCCGGCTAATGCTACAGGGAAGCTTCTTGTTGAGATAGCTCTGTGCTGAGGTGTAGTAGCTTGCACTTCAAGAGTCAAAGACAGTCCAATGTTTTGCAAAAGTAGCCCAGTTGCCAAATAACAGAATTTGGAATGATGGGCGTCTCATCCACGCTGAGCTGCTCTCTGGTGTAATGAGGCTTGGTGGAGGAGCGGTGTCAGCGGGGGGGACCGGGGTGACGGCTGCTCAGAACCAGTCCCCAGATGACATTAACCTTCATCATGGTGAAGAGTCGCTAAGTCCCCCCTAAAGCGCCACTCTCGGCCACACTCTGGCTGCTCTGAGAGCTAAAACGCTGCAGTGACACTCTGCCGCCCCCTTTGATCTGCCCTTCCTGATTACAGCCACAGAGGAGAGGAAAGCATGGAGAGGAGGGGGTGAAGTGCCCCTGGGACCCCGAGAGTTGAATTAGAAACACAGGGTCCTGTCTCACTCTCTGATGCCCCTCTTCTCTCCCTCTTATTGTTTCTTTCTTCCCACTTCTGTGTGTGTGTGTGAGAGAGGGTGGTTTCTGTCTCTCTGCAGCCTCACTCCTTCTCACCAGAGACAGACAAAGACACTTAAGCAAAAACACACTTAGACACACACAGTCACACGTACGCACAGTCTTGGCCATGTGATGGATAATACAGTCAGTGGTGTGCACCATCACACACAAAGGTATCCAGCGCTGACCTTTGCAGTGCGCTCCCAGCAGTCTGTGCCGGCTTCACTTGGTGTAGAAGCACCTCAGTGACAGATCATCAGCACACACTTGGGCATGTTTCTCTCTCAAAATGTAAAAGAATATTCTGATTAACCTCATAACACAGTGCGATGACCGTCTCATGCTTTGTCTCTGATCACTCGCAAAGAGGCCAGAAAGACTCACAGCGAGAGAGATCATTAAGACTGATGTCTCCAGTAGCGTTTACCCTCTCTGCTCCATCTTCTTTTTAAACCTGCCCGGCTGATTTTGTGTCCTCTCTACCCCCTTTGCAGATAATTGGAACAATCCCACTGATGCCCAACTCTGCAGGGCCCTCCAGCCAATCAGGGGGTGGCAACCCAGCACTGCAGGTACAGCCAATTACACCTCAGCTTCTGACCAACGCTCAAGGCCAGATCATCGCCACGGTGATCGGCAATCAGATCCTGCCTGTCATCAACACCCAGGGAATCACGCTGTCACCAATCAAGCCTGGACAGCAGGTAACACACACACACACACACACACACACACACACACACACACACACACACACACACACACACACACACACACACACACACACACACACACACACACACACACACACACACACAGGAAGATAGAGGAGCTTATTATACACTTAAACTGATGTTTCAACATTGATCAAGAGCTGGCTTTAAAACTGTTGAATGAGCAACACCTAGTGGAGTCACACCAGAGCTCTGTGTATTCATCAAAGTACATTTCCCAGCACTGCTAGTCAGGTCTGCTTTATGCTAAACACCTCGCTTCTTTACTGCTTCAACTCCCATAACACTTATTTGCATCATTCCACTCTGAAAATTGAAGCTTTTGGTGTACAATGTGTGTGACTGTGTGCACATTTGGAAAGCACTTGTCAGACAACCTTTCAGACTCAGTCTCAGGAAGCCTGCTGCGCCCCTGTAGAGCCCAAAAAAACAAAGACACACTTTTCAGCACCCCACTTAAAACTCAAACACTAGTGTTCTCCAGCTCTCCCTCCTCCTCTCCGTCTCAATCACTCTCCAACCTTGTGATTTGTCCTCTCTGACCTGAACAAGAAGTATTTTGTTTTGATTTAAAGGAAGATGTGAAAAAAACAGACTTCTTTTGTTTCTTTTTGTAGAAGTTTAAACCGTTAAATGTAGAAACTCTGAAACGACTTCTTCTGAGAACTTAAAGATCTATACAGTGTTCAATTGCGGAGTCAGATGCATTCACACGACAATGAAAACGTTATTGACTTGATAATGACGATGTCAGCGCAGAATTACAGGGTAAAAGTTCACATTGAATGCTCGTGTAATGCAGAATGGATGAACTCTCCGTAGATGGACGCCTAATTGTGGCTCGCCAAACCCCAGATCATACTCTTGAATGAATTATTGCATTTGTAATAATGTTTATGCTTTTGTCTCCACTTCAAAGCCCGCATGTACACATTGTTCCTCGGGCATAATTTACGGTTGTCAGAGCCGGCAGTCTAGAATATTTCCAGTGAAGCTAGATAATTCTCCGAGCCTGTCAACAGTCCTGACAGTGTGTGCATCGCTGTTGACACCCCCCACCATCCAAACAAACACATGCCAGGGAGAAAATAATTAATAGCAAAGAAGGAGAAGGGGAGCCGGCCTAGCTTACGGCGGAGACAGCTTTTCGCTTTAAAAGTGAAGACGTACCATCTTGATCTTGTAAAAGCTATTCAAATGTGCATAAAACATGAAAATACATCGTTTTCTCGCCATCTGAGCACGAAGCGAGTGGATCATGAATTATGTTTGATATGGGAACTGCTGTGTCCACATGTTTATCTTTCACGTTCAGGCTGCCATTATTAGCATCCTCGCTGGTATGATGACGAGAGAGATACTCTAATTGTCATGAGCAGTTTTCTTTTTTTTATATAACAAAGTTGATTTCTGCAGAGAAGCGTTTGTACCCGAGTTGACTCACAGTCTCCTGCAATAGTGAACTACTGCTGTAGTCTATTGAGCACACTATTGACGCCGTGTTTTAATACCGCAGGCAGTAATTAACATGAATTCATCTTCAGTAACAAGGTGAATCTCATTATAGTCAGCTCCTAAGTGGCTAATTTAATAGCTGTTGATTAGATGTAGTATTATAGCCTAATCACCATAATGACATGATTACTGTAAATGATGATTATTGTGATGATGTGGGTCAAGGGATAATGGATCATTCTCTGTAATGCATGCTGTCAATATATTAAATCAGCTCTGTGTGTGTGTGTGTGTGTGTGTGTGTGTGTGTGTGTGTGTGTGTGTGTGTGTGTGTGTGTGTGTGTGTGTGTGTGTGTGTGTGTGTGTGTGTGTGTGTGTGTGTGTGTGTGTGTGTGTGTGTCCAGATGCCTCAGGCTCAGCAGGGTCAGACAGGCCCTGTATCGTCTCAGCCCAACCTGCTCCACATGCCCCACAGACAGAGTCCTCTCCACCAGGCCTCTTCCTCCTCCTCCACCTCCTCCTCTTCCTCGGCTCTCAGCGTGGGGCAGCTGGTCAGCAGTAAGTGTCCGACACAGCTAAACACAACATGCCTTCAAATACATGGAGCAAAGAGCCCTTCTCTGTTCTCACTGTCTCCTGTGTTGTATTATAGGACAGTGCATACACGTTAAAGGTTTGGGTCAAATTACAAGGAATCATAATATGATTCCTTCATTTCTAGAGAGATGTGAGATAATATTATTATCTCACATCTCTCTAGAAATGTTCAGCCAAGCAGCCACAGGAAAAGAAAAAATGTTCTAAAACAGCTGGGCTTCATTTGCAATACTTCTGTAGGGTCAATTTATTGATGGTTTTGGTGTTTTTCACCAATTTGAAAATATATATAATGTCAGACAACGTTTCAAATCAGGTTACATTTTTGTTGGTGCCTAAAACGATCGAGGCTGTCATTTCCAGAATATTCTTTAAACATTTGATTGGAAATAGGTTCAAATATTCTTACGGCCGTAGCTGCTTATTATTTTTGTTTAAAGGAAATAAGACTTAACTTAATGAAATGAAATCTTGATAACAATGGGAATTATTATTTGGTTATATTTAAAAACCTATGACAATCAAATACAGACAGAACTGGCATGACAACATGGACAGTTTTGCGACGCACATACCTCCATGAAATTGTTTTATTAATGAATGCTTTATACTGAATAAAAAGCCATTATGATACTGGTGATTGTTGGATTATTCTTAACTAAAATGGATTTTAGGTAAGAAATCATTTTCAATACGCTATTTTACCAATGTTGTATTCTTACCCCTGTCCCTTTGGCCGCTCTGAACATTACGCTCTGTGTGGACAGCTTTTGACTGATCCCCGCCTTCTACGATTGTTTTATTTTTTCCTGCCTGTCAATCCTTTGGTTTATTAGTCAATCCAAAGTGGCATGTGTTATGTTTAATGAACATAAGTTTCACTCTGCCTTAGCTTGGGCCTTTGGCAGAGCCTTATAAATCACTGGGCCACAGCCTGTCAGCAGGCGGCTATTGCCTTTAAAAACTCCGTTTTATTCAGATAAATTTCATTTGTCAGAGTCGATTCCCCTAAACCCCATGTAAACTCATTTCAAAGGCAGCTACACTACCACTGAATTTAATAAAAAACAAGTCTCCATTGATCAACTCGTTGTAGACACCGTCTTTAGTTTGTGTTTACTCGTAGCATATATATCTTATAAACCATTATCGAGACTGCAACAAAAATCATTGTGGCTCTGTTCTGCCCTAAATAGAATGAATGCTTTATGCTGAGTACGAGCCATATCACTTCCTCTCAATATCATTTACAGCAAACATCCACAAAAGAAAATCCCATGACAGAATCAGAGACGTCTTCTGAGGAGAGAAGATGAAATGTCATTTCATTCGCCGGCCACAAACAAAGTGCCAGAAACAGATTAAAAAGCTGAGAATGTCTGCTTCTGTTAGTTAAATATAATAAGATGGGGACATGTCAATCAGAAAGAAGAATGTCAGCATTTTTTTCTGCCTTAACATTGTTTTTATTTTAACTTTTTCTTTATATATTGAGCTAGAGAAGCTGTTTTACAGCAACACCAATTTACCATTCCTTTCCTACCTGATGTGATCACAGTGTGTATGTCATATCAAAACTGCTTATTTATACCAGTTGCGATTGCAAAACTCACGTATAAATACCTACTCTAAAAAAGCATGTGTTGCCAAATAGGAGAGCATTTTTTATTCACTTTTTCTGGGGTCTTAACTACACACTTACTTCATCGTCATTTGGTCTCATTTAGGCTGTCAATAAACGTTTAAACAAATACAATGCAAGTTTTTCACCTTTTGTGAAAACAAACGGAGACAAAGGCATATAATAACATGAGTCCTGCTTGCAATTTAAAAGTTTTACTCGTAATACTTGTGTTTTACTTTACAGATAAATTGATTGTTTAAGTTGTTATTGTCCTTATAAAGCTAATAGTGTGTTAACGCTGTGAAGAAAAGCAGCTTTTAAACGCCCAGAAATTGATCGTCTCAATCGTTTTTTTAAATATGTCCTCGCAAACATTTGATTTGCTTCTCTGTTTGAAAGCTTTACCTCTCTATTCATTATCGCAAAACAGATTAGAAATCTTAAATCCTGTTTGTGTTGGTGACTTCATGTCTAAAGACAAATATCCCGAGGTTAGACCAATTGCTCTGGAGCGCCATTAGTCTCCCGGAGCACAGAGTGAATAGACTCTGCTGGGAATGATGAAGAGACGCTCATCAATGTGGAGATGATGGGAGCCGAAGCTGTGAGTGCTCATCCCTCCCCTCCAGTCGTCTGCGAGCCTCCAGTCCCTCATCTTCCAAGTGTTCACACGTCTGGAGCACGCCGCATACGCTACACGTCACTTATGAGGCACAACGAGATGGCAGCCCCATAGATTTTTGCTTAAATACGCTTGGAGGATTCCTTTAATAATTCATTGATAATGACCAAGATGAATAATTCAGAGGCACAAACTTTGCTTTAGTAAGCAGGATGCTGGGGTACCTGACATTGATGTACAATGTAATCACTTTCTATTAGCAGGGAAATTCTTCAAAATGCTCCAGTGAAGTTTTTTCAGATGTACTCCAATGTGGAGATTCGCAAACAGCATTTCTTTTTATTTGTGCACGAGGCTGGCCGGCCTGAACTGACTTCCCACCGGGTCAGAGAGTCTTTATACACTCATGAATGTTTGTTTCAGACGGCTACCTTTTAGGATGTGTATTCATACAGACACAGAGACATTAGAAAAATACCTCTTAAGATCTATTGAATTATATTTGTCCGTGTGCTTTTGTATGTGCGTATAAAGATTTACAATTGCAAGTCAAAGCTATAAACAGCCTGCATTCACACATAAATGAATTTATTTATCCCACATTATTTGCTTAAAGCACAAGGGCAGAGAGAAATAAAAATATCTGACCCAGAGCTAGCTGGTTTAAAGACACTCACGATCATATATTTCTGAATGTTTGCTTCATTCAGTCTGAGGAAATGAGCGACAGAGGGCTAACAAATGAGTTGTGTGTTGTGTTGCAGACCCGCAGACCGCCCCCAGCGAGGTGGACGGGGTCAACCTGGAGGAGATCCGTGAATTCGCCAAAGCATTCAAGATCCGCCGCCTGTCCCTGGGCCTGACTCAGACTCAGGTGGGCCAGGCGCTGAGCGCGGCCGAGGGTCCGGCGTACAGCCAGTCTGCTATCTGCAGGTAAGTGCAGCCAGGGAGGAACATAAACGCTTCATCATTCCTGATCAATACGTCCTAATTCTGTCAAATGAAACCAGATAAAAGTCTCAGTGAACTGCCTGGTTTTCATCTATTTTTCATCCCGTGTTTTAAGAGACATTACTAAGATATTAAAATACATAATTGACTATCACCACCCTGACAAACGAAGCTCTCATTCCGTTACTTAGCCGTCTTCCCGTTCCCCTCGCTGACATGACAGCGGCACGTTACTTATGCAAAATACATACACAAGTATTACATGAAGCACTTAAAGCATTTAATAATTACTAAGGCCCGACGCCGGCTGCTCGTCTGAACATGAGAGAGCTTGACGGCGATGATCTGTTAATAAGATTGCCATGTTTTACCGCTGCCACCAGGACAGTTTAGTCCTAAATGCGGCATTATATATTCATGAGACTATCAGACAATCAGTGTTTCATCCCTGCTGTTTTTCCACATGACTAACATTTAGCATGAAGACACCAAATGAGCCACATTTCCCTTTCAAGTCAGAATAACTTAACTTGCTCATCATGCTCAAATAATACTCTTTAAATGCCAAAAAAGTGTCAAATGAATTAAAAAGTTCACCGATTAAAGTCAAATGTCTTTTCTAAGATCCAAACAAGGTATAAATATGTATATATGACAACTTTTCTTTGCCAAAAACACAATAACATAACACAAGTGGAGCCTGTCTTGCATCCGTTTTTTGAAGAACTCCCACTAGTTTTTCAGGTCTTATTCCTGTATTCATTTGAATGTCCCAGTGCATGTGCTTTCCTGATGAACTGTGCTGTTAATCTGACAAGGCACTACCATGCCCTTTTTAAAAATGTCATCACATCAACATCAAACAGCCGATAAAATGTGAAACTGTACAGGGGCCGGGGTTCTTATGAGGCCCAGCCATCTCCGACTAATGTTTAAAGTCTTGAAATCACACATGAAATATTTACAGCCAAGCATAATTCAAATATTTATAACATACATTAAAAGCCATTAGCTTCAAAAATAAACACTCAGTGGGTTGTTATTCATGCCGTTAAGACCATTTTTTTGTTTGTATGACATTGGACATGACATGGTGATGTTTTAAGTAGAGGCCGAACTTCACATGCTTTAGTTTAGTTAACATCAACACAGACATGAAGTTTGAGCGGGACGTAGCTCTGGGGCTTTGAACCAGACAGAGAACAGACACTGACAGATGCCTCCATCTTGTCTCCTTTCATTGCTCACTGTGTTTCAAAGCTCTTTATTATTTTTTATCTAAACAGGCACAGACATTACACGAGGGCATCATCAAACCAATGATAGCCACTGTGCTCTCCTCTGGTTACAATGTGCTTTGTTCAGGCTACAATGGATATACACATGTTCAAAAGGGCCTTCAATGCAGCATTTCAAACTCTTTGATGGTTTCCTCATGATTAAATCTTCCAAACTAAAAAGTCCCAGCTTAAATAAACATGAGCAGAATATTAACTAAATAATCGACCAAGAAATATAAACACAGTAGACGGTACAGTAAGCTCACTGATATGAATCTCTTGAATATTGAAATCTACTTATATCATAAGGGCAGATTCTCTTTCTATTTTGTTTTATATTGCATGATCAATTCCTAAAAAAGCAAAACCTTTTTTAATAAATACTTGTTATTGTTTATATTACAAAAGAAGCCAAAACGGAATACTCTACGTTAGCCATAAAATGGGCTAATAGTGGGCTAACCCTCCTAATAGTTTGGTTAAGTGACATGGATACAATTCTAATACATCTGTATAACATATAGATTTATATATTTGTATCAATATATCATGAATATATCACATGTTTGACTCCAGACACTGCTCTTTAATTACTTTTATAATTCCAACAATGGTCTATAACAACCAGGGATGCTAAAAGGTTAAATACTCTCTGAAAGAATGAAACATATATTTTCCTCTCTGAAGGTTTGACAGGAGGGGAAGTAAAACAGACACTAAGAAGGTGATACAATGTACTACACAATAAGAGATAATAGTATTTATTGTAACTGTTTGTCGAGGTAAATTCTCCTCATATACTGCAGACTTTAGCCCTCATGTATCGTATCCCTCTCAACGACTTTAAACCCGGAGGCAGACTGAAACTCAACATACAGCATGTGTGTGCAGGTACTTTTAAGAAGAGAGGCTGGAGGTGCATTCAGGGCCACTTCTCCCTCGTGCTGATGCACTAGAGGAGGGAGTGCATACCCCAGCCGAGCGGCTCTCAACTCATTTTAGTCTCTGCGGTTCCTGTTGATCCATGAAATGTCCTGTCTCTGGTGACTCCTCATATTTACTAATGTATTCCCCGCAGTACGCAGCCTCCTCTCTCCACTGTTTAGGACGAGGTTATAAATAATACCGCCTGTCGACAAGGAGGAATGCAGCGGCGAGGTGTAGAAGCAGAGCAACTTCATGCACGCATGGTCATCGCTGCCTCTCTGGTGTTGTCTGAGCAGCTCACCTCCCATTAAAAACATCTTGTGTGCATTGTTTGTTCCTCAGAGAGCAGATCTCAGAGCTGCTGTCAGTCCAGAAGCTGCTTTCCTAAAAGCATTCACACACGTCACACTCGTGTTTGTCCCAGAAACACTTTCAGTTAACTCATGTGCGCTTATTTATTGAAAAATGCTCGGAAATCTGAGTTTAAAAAGCAGCTTTCGTATGAATTTAAATCATCCTCTTTTATATTAGATTTTGCTTCAATGTAATTCTATTTTTTATTTTGGAAACCTCACATAGATGGTTTTTGAAAGAAGGACCCGAGGGTGCATCATGTCACGAGTTGACAAGGTCCCTGGTTTCAGTCCAGCTGGGGACCTTTGGTACATGTCAGCCCTCCTCTCTCTCCTTAATATTATCTGATAGCAAATACAGTTTAAAATGTGCAAATATACATGATCACACAACACAAACATCTCTCTTAAGAAAATGTTGAATCTGTCATTGATTCAATGATTACTTGATCTTTTTAGCATGTCCTCTTCATATCCTTCTCCCCATGTTTCCTGTTGCTTTGTCAAAAGACAAAATGTCCATAAAACAAACAACAAACGTCAACGGAAACCTCTCCAGTCCGATCAGTCAGCATCACTTCAACTTGGAAGCATTGTTGGCTCCAACTGTAAATAATAAAAGACCCCTGCCGAACGTTACAGACATGTAATAACTGTCAGGGTGGTGTTCATGTATGAACTAAAACCATGAATACAAAATCTTTAAAACAACAAAACAATAGTTCAATTTAAAGTCAGAGCGCTCCTATCTCTAATAACCACATTTAAAGGAGTGTGCTGTTGGTTCACAAACAAATAATGCCATCTTAAAGAAAACTGAAAAAAATCCTTTTGCTGTCAAATAAAACACCATTAGTATGTTTTCCTATCACAGGCTAGCAGTGTTTCTATAAAAGCCTCATTCTGCAGTCTTACAGTGACTCTAAAATGCGGAGTGTGTGTTAAGTCAGAATTACGCAGGCCGCAAAGTTGCAGGAACTTCCAGGATTAGAGTGTGCAAATGTATTCTTATTAAATATGAAATGAGACGTTGAGGAGAAAAGAAAGTTTGAAAAATGTATTAAATGTACATTTTGATTAATAATTCAAACGCTTTTTGTAAATAAATCATGGTGCCATATTCAACTGCATGCATTAGTGGATTTTTGTTTTTTTAACACCTGAGGGAAAGAAATGGGATATTTGGGAGTAATTCCTATTTTTGTTTATTTAACAGCATTTTGAAGCATAGTAGTTAAATATAATGCTTTTGGTTCAACTGGACCTGATTTTAGTCTTTGGAAATATCTCTTTGTTCCATTTTTTGGACAGGCCAGAGAATTAACAAACTGCTGGCATCAGTCACCTGCAGCTGCTGCAGCTGAGGGGTTTCCAGGGGCAGAATACAGGGGTTTGGCTCGGATGTGTACCTGGATGTTAGTCTCTTGGTCTAAAAAGGAAGGCAGCTTATCCCTTGTTCTGGCAAGTAAGATTCTTTTTTCTCAATTCTCCCCAGACACACCATCCTGAGAAGCCACTTTTTCCTACCACAGGAAGCCCAAGAGAACACATTAGGTAGCAGTCTGACAGGCAAACTGAACCCTGGCCTTTTATATCCTGCCAGGTTTGAGAAGTTGGACATCACCCCTAAAAGCGCCCAGAAGATTAAGCCCGTTCTGGAGCGCTGGATGGCCGAGGCTGAAGCCCGCCACCGGTCCGGCATGCAGAACCTGACTGAGTTTATCGGCAGCGAGCCTTCCAAAAAACGCAAGCGGAGGACCTCTTTCACCCCACAGGCGCTCGAGATCCTCAACAGCCACTTTGAGAAGAACACACACCCCTCCGGACAGGAAATGACGGAAATAGCCGAGAAGCTGAACTATGACCGGGAGGTGGTGCGGGTCTGGTTCTGTAACAAGAGACAAGCTTTGAAAAACACGGTAAAGCGTTTGAAAGGTCCGGAGCTGGGCCCGGCCGGAGCCATGGACCCGCTGTCCGACTGTCTAGAGGAGCTGCCCAAATGAACCACAGCTTAACAGTGGAGGGGAAGAGAGGCAGCCATTAATAACCAGAGGGATGGACTCATCTTGAACCGAACAATGTTACAGAGTCACCTGGACGGACAGTGATGAGTTTGCAAACAAAAACGATGTGTTGTCAGTGTGATTACCACAGCTATGTAAATGACCTTGGCGAAACCAAAAACAAGAAAAAAGAGATTAATATCTGAGAATTATGTAAAAACATACGGTGTGCTGTTTCAAAGAGTTTTAGATTCTGGCCGTACAGACCAGACTATCGCCCACATTTTGGTTCCCACCAGGAGGGATTTAGTAAAGAGATCATACCAAATCAAAACACTATTTACCAAAGTCTGTTGCATCTGAGTACTAAGAATAATTTTGTAATGTAAATGTGCTCTAAATTTCTACATTTGTACTGGCAAATCTAAGCTATATGTGTGAGGTTGAGTATACATTTTATCTTTGTCTCGCTTACTTTTTTCTTCATTGTTTGTATGTAAATATCTGAAAAAAAAAAAAAATGCTGTCATCCAAGTGAAACCACACTGATAAACGTTCTCTTTTTGGACAAAAAGAAAATGCTGTTGAACAGTTGCATTATGATGTTGTTTGCCTTTGTGTTTCATCTGCAAATATTTTCAGTCACCGTGTAACTTTGTACAACTTTTACAGGTATTTATTAATAATCTCAGAGTGTTTCAGAGGACAGACAGTCAAATAAGGACTTTCAGATGATGATGATGATGAAGGGTTTCAGTGTCTGTCAAGTCTGTTGTTTTGAGCTACTGTGTCATTCTGTTGCCAAAGCCTGATAGCCAAAGAACACATACATGTTAGCTCAAGGACTGGTGAAGATTTTACCTTTTTATTTTCTGTTTCACACGGCTTTCTAGTTTCTACTTTAACACTACCATCTCAAACAGCTTTAAAAACATCCACACATCTGCGTCTGCATGCTTCATGTAGCATTTGTCTCAGATCAGTTTCACCTGGCAACCCAGGATTAACATTACCTGCTTTTTTCTTACCTCACTGAAAATAACATTCTTCATTAACATTATAAAGACTTTATAATGCCCTTAAACTAAATGAACATGTGTGGTTGAAGCCTGTTTGTCGCCACTGACCAAACTACTGAGCTCATTCCAGTTCAAATGTTTTATAACCTCAACAAAAAAAATGTTTCCTTTGTATTCTGCATTGCTGTCAGCTTAGTGAAGGTTTACAATCAACTATTTTAATGGGAAAATGTTTTTTAAATGTTTAATTTTGACAGATTATGCTCCAATTTCCCTTGATGTGTTTATTGTTTTTGATTCCAGTCGATTGTGTCTCCAAACTGTTCATTTAACATGTTTTTAAATGTCAATATTCCCATCCATACAAATATTTGAATCTCTCGAAAGCCCCTCACAGGAAAAGCCAAAAAAAACAAACAAGAGGTGAATGTTGAGAATAAGTGTCACATGTCAGAACGAGTGAACTTAATTTGAAGCGAGGCGAAATTTGATGCAATTTATTCAGAATCATGTGTCTGCTCGATATCTGTCCCTCCATGTCACATTGGTTATCTTCAGTGCTGCGTTCTTCTTCTCTGCCTGGAAAACACGCACGCAAACACACTGTCAGAAAACACATGACATGTTTTGAAAGATACAAAGCAACTATTGACTCAAGTATTTAAACTACATTTCCATCTTTTTATTGTGATTCCACCTTTACGTTGCGTCCATCTTCCATTCAGGCAACTCTTTGGCCAAGAAACTCCACATCTGCACCCACCCACTCAAAAGAAATCTGAGACATTCTATCTGCAGGTGGAATATGGATCTTTTCCGAGGCTTGTCAATAAAGCTGTAACCAAAATAAAAAAAAGAAGAAGACACATAAGAGGAGTTGCTCGACTTCTCAATGCTGGACCAAAGCTCTATAGTTATGCACATTGTACAGAGAAATAGATTCATGATGTTGACAATCTTTTAAAAAAACTGAGATAAAAGAATTGTACAGACGTTCATCCAAGGTTTACCTCAGTACTGTTCTTGTGAGAATCATACAAACGCCATGAAGCATCAGCAGGTCAGAAAAGACAGACGTTACTCTGCACTGTGTGTGTCGATGTTCCCCTCCAACGTGTTTTATTTATTTATTATTATGTGACACATGATTGTTTTATTTTTGTGAAGTGGTTTCCTGAGCCGCGCGTGACTCTCCGTTATTTATTTTCTATCTTATTTGCTTTATGTTTCATTTGTTGTGCCGTCCCCTCTCAGTCCCCACAGACCTGTAGCCCCCCCCTCGTAGAGGAAAAAAGGAGATTACAGTGTTGTTGCTCTGGATTAGGATGATTTGTAAATCACCATTAAATGCTTTTGTGACATTTTACTAACACAAACAAAGTGGTTTGCCGTTTTGTTAATAGTGGAAGAACTCGAAACCAAAGCTGAAGAGCCCGCAGAGGTCGGTTTTCATTTTTTTATAGACTGAAAACTGTACTTAATCTATAGAGCAATATCTGTTTGGTCAGTTAAGCAGCACTTTGTGTATTTCCAAAAAAAGAAAAAAAGCTTCAAGTCTGTCACATTGATTTGTACCATAATTAGTAATAAACAATTGTTTGACATGAATTGTGTGTCCTGTTTTCAGTGGAGTTATTCTTTAAGATAGAGTCTGCCCTATATGCCATTAGAATGTATTATAAATATAATTATTCCAGAGCAAAATATTCCATAAAAGATATGTGCATTTGTCACAGACACAGATCATATTTTTTTGTTTTTTTTCTATTTATTTAATGATTGTTTTCCTTGCTGTAATGCTTAATTGCAAAAAGAATTGACAGATACACTGAAAAAACTGTACTTTTTCTACTTTAATTAAATGTGTTATGTCAACAGACTTCACATAACTAAACTGTATTAGGTTAGTTGAAAGCAAACATATCAAGTTTAACTAAAAAAATAGTAGGTTCAATTTAATAGTATTGCTTTCAACTAACTTAATATAGTTATACTAAATGTGTTGACATAATACATTCAATTAAAGTCAACACTTCAGTTTTTTCAGTGTCATATAGTCGGATACACTAAAAGAACTGTACTTTTCTTACTTTAATTAAATGTATTATGTCAACAGATTTCCATTAACTGTATTAAGTTAGTTCAAGTTAACTTAGTTCTAGGTTCAACTTAACATTATTGCTTTCATCCAACCTAATACAGTAATGGGACATTTGTTGACATAATACATTTAATTAACGTTTCAGTTGTTTCAGTGTATCTGACTATCTATCTACACTGAACAAACTGATAGATAGATAGATAGATAGATAGATAGATAAAAGGATAGAAGGCTATAGATCAGATAGATAGATGTAACACATGTACCTCTTGCTGTAAAGAGTTCAAAGATTTCAGTAACATACAAATATTCCATAAACATCACTGACTTTTCTTTTCATCTTCATGTTTTTCAACTCCACACATAAACACAGTGAAAAATAAAAGATATGTCAAATAAAAAACAAACTTTCTCCGAGAGGTCATGGTCATCTTCAATCCTCCTGTACGCACCTCGCTGTTTCTCTGACATTCACCCTGTGTACGAGCTGACTATCCGGTGTGTTTAATGAGAGGAGGGGGGCTACAAAAGAGCCCTCCATACAATATTTAGCCTGGCTATTTATTTAGATTTCCTCTGGGTCAGGAGAGAAGAATAGTACTTGTCAGGTTTGCTTCTCATCAAAGCTTCATGTGTTTGCCTCACCAAATAACAACAAGACAAGTGTACAGAAGGAGAGAAATATATAAATAAACGGGGAGAGAGCTCTTTTGAAACTAAACTCAAAAGTTTGATACGGCTTCCCTGTCCGCGATGCCTTTGAAAAACGGGCAGGCTGCTGAAAAAGAAAGTAGTAAATAAATAAATAATAATAATAAAAAGCACAGACAACATAAATTATTAACATTAGACTGAAAACTGATGTTCAAGATGCTTTCTCGTCTTCCTTTCAGCCCCCGGTGAGTTTTTATGTGAACTTTACTTACNCCCCCCCATTCATTTCAAGATGTATTTTTGAGTGGCGATGGCTGAGGTGCACACATTCCTCTCACTTATTTGATGTTCTTTTGTTTTTCCACGCGCGTCATTTTCCTTGTGTTTCCCATTAACTATGTAATTGTGCAGATGCAGTGCCTGACCCATATCTGTTTAACTGTTTGTATTCTGCCGCTGATAAAAGTTTACTTTCTGTCCTCTGTCTGCGGCATTTTCGGTTTGAATGAAGAGGAACAGGAACAGGATTATTACTGGAGGAAGTGTCAGAGTTTGAGCTTCGCATCAGTCATCGTTAGACGTCAATCTGATCAGATGTTCCGAAAGTTCTTCCTTGTTTTAAAGTTTTATAGCATCCTAGATTCAAAAACTACCATAAATAAAACATGAAAATAGTATCCTGTTCCTAAAAAGCTTTTTTCTTTTAAAAAGCCTCTTCCAACTTTTACATAGCAAATTGAAAAAAATCACAGCAGGCGGCAAATGCTCCAGACTTCAGATTGATAGGGGGGCAAAAGTTAGGGTCATTTCATTAATTCTTCACTTCAGAATTAATGAATACAGTATATTAGCGCAATATAAAGTGAAAAAAATGCATTTAAACTTAAACTAGACAATATAGTAGGGCCTCAAGATGTGAGGATCTTAGCTCAATTGTGCTTTAGATGAATTTACTACAGCAAAATGATCAAAAATACCTACTTTTCCTGACTAGATCAGGCTATAAATGCTGTGTGTGAAACTGTTCCACACTATTCAAGTGTCCTCATGATAAAACATTAAATAAACAAATACTATTTATGTTTGAACTCTTGATTTGGATCAGGGAAACCCAAACAAAAACCTTTAAAGTGCTGAAATCTCAGCAGGAAGAACGCATATGCAAAAAGCCAACACTAATAAGGTTAATAGAAAATGAAGTATTCTATTCAAAACATAAAATGTGATTTCAGGCAATATGTTCCAATTAAGGGGCCAAATCAAACACAGAGAATACTCTTTGTTCGGAGAGGAGTTGAGAAGCTCCTTCTTCTTTTGTTTTCGCTCTGCAGAGATCTAAGAGCAGTAGGCTACAGTAGTTTGAGGATTCACGCAAAGCCTTTGTTGAGATGTTTTAAAGAGTAATCCAGTAAAGAGGAGTTTTGACCTCTGAGTCTTATTGTTACTTTCTGGACTTACAGTAGCAAAGGTCTCCTCCATCTCTCTTCTTATATATTCCTCTCTACACAGAATCAAAGTGAAGTCTGCAGCCCGACTTGTTGCCATGAAACATTCCTGTTCAATCTGGAATTGTCCTGACTGTGGAGAGGGAGGTAGAAATATTATGACATGTCTGCGCTCCAAATGGATTATGTTTCAATATCAGTCAGGACGTGGCGGCAGAGGGAGGGCGCGGTGTTGGATGCAGATGCTTTTAAATTGCTGCCTTTGTTTTCCATCAGGCATGAAGCATCCCCTTCCCTTATCTCCCAGACACCGTGCGCTGATGTTCTGGGTAAATGAACTGTCGGAGTATCCCTCACCCTCCTTCTTGTT